CCACAGAACCTCCGTCCCTCTCCATCCACCCGTCTCCACTGCCCCTCCTGGCTCCAGGTCAGTCCCTCAGTGTCCAGTGTGAAGCGTCAGGCTTCGCCCCCCTGACCCTGGAGATGAGCTGGGAGGTTAAAGGCAGTGATGGGAAGTCTCGGCCTCTGGACTCCAGCAGCATGACAGGACACAAGCAGGCCTGGGACGGTACCTACAGCCAGAGCATGTGGCTGGAGCTGGACACGTCCAAGATGGACCTGGGCACTGGAGGAGAGCTCACCTGTGTGGCTGTCCACCCTGGAGGCACCAGACGGAGCAGCACTTCTCTCAGCATCATCGGTAATTGATGAAAGATCTGAGACGATCTCTAGTTCACTGGTTCTCCACTGGTCCAGCCTAAGGAACCCTGACCCTGACCTTGACCCTGACCCTGACCCTGACCCCCCCACAATTATAATTATAATAATAATTATAATTAACAGTAAAGTCTTTCTAGAGCCCATACTTTAAAATCATATTTTAATAATAGAAGAAAGCAAAGAAAAAGTCTTGGATTTCCTTCTGAATTCTCCATGAGATGAAAACCAAAATACTTGTTAGTATTTCTGACTCAGTGATTGGTTCATTGTTTAACCCTCCGTGTGCTGCCCTGGTTGTTGCAGCCGTCAGTACTCCCTCCATCGAAGACTCCATGGCGATGGTGGGCGTGGCACTGGTCCTCTATGGTCTCATCAAGTTGGTGTCCTGGACCGTCAGTGGACCAGGTATGAATTCCGACCACAGCATGTAACAGGAAGTCCACTCATGAACTCAGAGTACAAATATATTCATGTCTGATGAATACTTGTTTTTAAGGCACAGCTGCAGCAGAAAACCAGGATAAGGTGAGTTTGAACGACAAGAAAAACATTTTCACCTGAGCTGCTTGTTTTTGTCTCATTGTTTCACACTTTCACCTTCACACAGAAGAAGAAGAATTGAAGATGAGAAACTGAGGACCAGGTGTGAAGATGTGAAACCACAGGAGTTGGAGATCCCTGAAGTGACCGTTGTCCTGCTCATGTCCACACTCACACTCACTGACCGAGCTGATGAGTGTGTGTGAACGTGTCAGGATGTCAGTGCTCACGGTCGGGTTACACTGGTCCTGTTTTTATGGCTGTGCTGCACAAATAAATGTTGGTGTCTGTGGCTATTCACTGGGTAAAAACTTATGCTTTTCACACAAAGAAATAACAAATAGAGACCTGTATAGACTGGTTATAATTGTATATATATATATGTGTGTGTGTGTGTGTGCATATATATGTATGTATATATATAGTCTATACAGGTCTGTATTGCTTTAGAGTTTTTGTTTGTACCTTACAGTCATCTGAGGTTCTAAAGTACAAACATTTACGTTTGTTTTGTTCCACCATATTCAATAAAGAGTTTGTCTTGAAAAACAACATCATGTTTTAGTCTGAATTTATTCTTTCACATTTTTATTTTTGATAATTAAATAACATGAATGCTTGCTATGAATATTATTATATTTTAATGTGTGTTTTTTATTTAGTTTGTTGTTTAAAAAACCAGTCCGTCAACAAACATCTTCTCACGTCTACGACTACGTTCCTCCAATACACGATCACTTTACTGAAACAGCCAGCCAATCAGAGTTTCCCTTACTCCGGAGATTTTAGCGGATACATTTTTCGAGCACAAGTGGACTGTACAGCTGAAGTTGTCGGGGTATTGTTTGAGAAAATCGAGTATTTCAGGCATTTAAGACGTTTCTCATTTTATAGAATTATCTTTGTTTCGTCAATGTATCTGGTGACGTCGTCTAATGGCCCGGCATGTAGACTGTGCTTCCGCTTCAAGTACAAACATTTACGTTTGTTTTGTTCCACCATATTCAATAAAGAGTTTGTCTTGAAAAACAACATCATGTTTTAGTCTGAATTTATTCTTTCACATTTTTATTTTTGATAATTAAATAACATGAAGAAATAATTAAACATTACTAGTTATTAATAATATCAATAATATTAACAATATTCTCTCATGACATGGTGATGATGTTTTTGAATTTTTATTTTGTAAATATTTGACTAATCCATGTATATTTTGAAACACTTTTGTTTTTCTTCTATGTCCTGTATTCTGTTTCTAATGTGTGTGATTTTTCATTTCATTGAGGGAGGAGAGAAATACTGCAAACCTTAGCTCGGGCTAACTGTCCAAATAAAAGGTCAATATAGTGAATAAAAAGGTTTGAAATAAAAACTATAACATGGATTCTGTTTGATTCTGCTTCTTGTGTGTGAACAACAATGACGTTAAAAATATAAACTCACTTAAAGATTTTTGTGTCTTCATTTCATGTCCTAAAAATACAAATGATAAGTTGATGGGTTGAAAAAGATACTGACTGACTGGTGATTTAAAGTATGTTGTTGTCAGTTTATATACCTTTTATTTTTCATTTTAACAAAGCAGACCAGACTTATATTCAGAAACGTATTTAAATGTTCACTGTGAAAATGTCAGATCTAATTCTGGACTAATTACAAACGTTGTGTCTTTTCTTTGTCGTAACAATAAACAGCCATTTTATCTCATGACCGATTTACAGACACATTTTAAAATCAAACGGTGTATAAAGAATTTTATTACTGAACCAATGCAGCCTATAGGTGTCGGGTTTACTGAAGCATCAGTCAATCAGAGGCGCCAGCACGGCAAAGTCTCGAGCAGACGTAAAGCAGCAATCTACTGTCGTAAACATCGCTCACTGAGTTGAAAAACTAAAAATATTTGTGGATTGTCCTGAGGTCGCATAAATATTTTATTTCCGTCATGTAGCAAAGTAACAAGCAGCGCTAACCAGCAGCTTCCCCATGCTAATTGTAGGCTAACTGTGAAAGTATAGTTTTAATAACTTCGGGTGGACTTCACCAATATCTCCCGCTTTCTTCGTCTCAGAGCCCCGAGAAATCAGGTGAGTTTGACAAACCAGGAGCCAGAGAAGTGACATTTCCTCCACTTTGGCTTCAAGCGTCTTATCTTTTTATATTTAAACCAACGTCTGTCCTTTTGATTCTACACGTCATTAACAGTCGTTTAACCGTCCTGTAAATTATAGACTTAGTTGATGGTATAGTGTTTTTAGAGTTATTTCAGTTACCTTATTATTTTCCTAACCACAAACACATCCTTGTTTGTATTTCATTTAATCATTTATTAAGTAAATTGTTGAGAACTGTTTCTCTAAAATACTTGTGCTGAGTACTTTATTTACTTTATTTATTAATTACAGACACAGATGGGTTTAGAAATCCTTGTATAAATATAATATATACAGTTTTCTCTTGAATTAAGCCCAAACAAAAGCAGTTCTTTCAGAGTTGCTTTTTTCATCACAGTTTCACAGTTTATTTTGTCCAAAGCATCGTTAGAATCCAGGCTTGTTTGTCTCTGTTTTAGTTGAAAGTCCGTTCATGTCTGCAGGTCCATTCTGTTGCACCTGTCTGTTCTTGTGCTCCGTATGTCTGTGGTAAACACTCACTCTGTCCCTCTGTATGTGGTGACAGTCAGAAACAGGCGGTGTTTCTTTCATGGCGGTGGCACCTGCCTGGATGGCGGATAAAATCATAGTGCTGGATGAAGGAGACTCAGACGACAGTCCGCAGCCGTCCTGCTCCACCTCCAGGTCTGAGTCTGCAGCAAGACCTGTTCCCCAGCTCAAAGCTCCGCAGCCCATCATCATTCACGTCCCGCCGTCACCGTTCGCCACAGCCAAGAAGCAGAGCCATGTCCTGGAGGCCGAGAACCAGAAACTGTTTTCAGAGGTGAGCTCAAAGGTCAACTGTGATGAAATTAAAGTGAAATAAAAAAATAATGTCAACATCAGAATAAATCATTTACTATGAAGACATTAACGTCGTTAGAAAGAGAAAGAAAAAGTTTTACAATACAGAGAGAACTTGGAAAAAATGTTTCAACAATCATACGAATCAAAATACAAATAATATTCATGTTGGTTAACTCCTGTAGAGCACACTCCCAGGTTGTGATCACTTTTCTCCACTGTTTTGGTCCAGTTCGTGGAGCACTGCTCAGCTCTCACCCAGGACTGTCCCGAGGTCTTGACCTTCCTTCAGACCAAGTACGCCAAGGCCTCGCCCGACTTCCTGAAGTCTGTGGAGTTCAGGAACACCGTGGGCCGATGTCTAACCCGTGCTCAGAACAACCGCTCCAAAACCTTTGTCTTCATCAACGAACTGTGCACCGTGCTGCGGCAGCACTGCATCAAGAAGAGGCAGAGCCTCACCAGGGTGGAGGCCGACTCGTCCACCTCCACCTCGTGTCCTGCTGCGTCCAACTCTGCTCCTCCTAAATGTAAAGACAAGACCAAAGGCAGCCTAAAAAAAGCACAGGAAAATGGTACGGCAGCGACGCAAGATGAACGGCCGTCCACCTCAGAGCCGCAGGCGGAGGAGAGAGCGGACAGGAAGACGGCCAGGGCGTCCAAGAAACAGGTGGGTTTATTTCCACCTCAGGAACAGGAGTTCATCTCAGTCCCTTCAAGGGGAACTGTATTATTGATGTGCCCCCCCACCCCCCTCTCCCACCAGTGAAAATTGACACCCCTGCATTAGACAATACATTAATAGAACAAAAATAAAATAATATCAAAGAATTTCTCTAGATCGGAATCAAGTATTTGAATGAAGTTTTAAGACCTAAAACAGATCCTCCATCAGTGCATACCTAAAAAAACAGTCTGTAGTGACCTGGAGGGGGCGCTGTTCGTTAAATGTAGAGATTGTTAAAGAGCTAATGCTGAAAACACGTTACCACTGACGGTAAGCGTAGTTGAAACTTGAATGACGTTGACGTTTGTGAACTGGTGTTGGTGCGACTGGTTCTGACCAGTTCTGGACTGGGACTCTCCAGGTCCTGCATTTTGACTCCCATCTGGTCCTCATTCCTCTCAGATAGCCTACCTGGAGAACCTGCTGAAGGTCTACCACGAGGAGATCTGCCGCCTGCAGCAGACGGAGCTGAGTCTGGACGACATGGAGGCCGAGGACTCGCTCTACATCCAGGAACACAAACTCAAACGCAAGGTGAGTCGGCGACGGTTTGACCGGGCCCAGAACCTCCGTCACAGCTTCACGGACGCCGTCCTTCCTTCCTTTCCTTCCACAGATGATGAAAATCTACGAGAAGCTGTGTGAGCTGAAGGACTGCAGCACGCTGACGGGCCGAGTCATCGAGCAGAGGATCCCACCCCCCCCTCCCACCAGTGAAAATTGACACCCCTGCATTAGACAATACATTAATAGAACAAAAATAAAATAATATCAAAGAATTTCTCTAGATCGGAATCAAGTATTTGAATGAAGTTTTAAGACCTAAAACAGATCCTCCATCAGTGCATACCTAAAAAAACAGTCTGTAGTGACCTGGAGGGGGCGCTGTTCGTTAAATGTAGAGATTGTTAAAGAGCTAATGCTGAAAACACGTTACCACTGACGGTAAGCGTAGTTGAAACTTGAATGACGTTGACGTTTGTGAACTGGTGTTGGTGCGACTGGTTCTGACCAGTTCTGGACTGGGACTCTCCAGGTCCTGCATTTTGACTCCCATCTGGTCCTCATTCCTCTCAGATAGCCTACCTGGAGAACCTGCTGAAGGTCTACCACGAGGAGATCTGCCGCCTGCAGCAGACGGAGCTGAGTCTGGACGACATGGAGGCCGAGGACTCGCTCTACATCCAGGAACACAAACTCAAACGCAAGGTGAGTCGGCGACGGTTTGACCGGGCCCAGAACCTCCGTCACAGCTTCACGGACGCCGTCCTTCCTTCCTTTCCTTCCACAGATGATGAAAATCTACGAGAAGCTGTGTGAGCTGAAGGACTGCAGCACGCTGACGGGCCGAGTCATCGAGCAGAGGATCCCCTACACCAGCACTCGTTTCCCCGAGATTAACAGAAAGGTCAGTGTCTTTAACTGGACCAATGGCAGCTGTGTGTCGTTGGACGATCCACTGGAGAAAACAAATATGAAAGGGTGATGTTTACAGGACAGAAAAGAGGTGGAGACGAGGGTCAGGGTTGATTAGTGACAGCAGCAGAGGATCAGAGATCTGATAACATTCACACCTACAGTCTGTTCACACTGAATGGATGATTTTGGATCGTGTTCCGTCAAGAGTCTGACGATACGATATGCATCACGATACGTGGGGCAACGTCGTCCCTCGCTGTATCACAGTTCAACTGTGGCGCCCCCGGTGCATCGTTGGTTTTTAATAATATTTTAAACCTATTCTTGTGTTGCAGATTTTTCGCTCCTTCACGGGTTTTTGTAGTGTTTACATTTTTTCCAATTTCCAATATTTTCATTATTTATGTGATTTAAAAAAAAGCATTTTCTAGCCTAAGAAGAAAAAAAAGGTTAAAAAAAAGACATTTTGTAACATACATGGGTTAATATATACGTAATAATATAAGAACTGCTTCGTTTCTACTACGAGATTTTTTTAGCTGAAGTCCCAGTGTGATCCTAGTCCGCAAGAAATAACCTGCACGTAGGAGTAAACCAGATTTGACGGCCTACGACGCCTCTGAAAGGGTTAATATATACGTAATAATATAAGAACTGCTTCGTTTCTACTACGAGATTTTTTTAGCTGAAGTCCCAGTGTGATCCTAGTCTCAGCCTCTGCCCCCCCCAGTGTGATCCTAGTCTCAGACTCTGCCCCCCCAGTGTGAACCTAGTCTAAGACTCAAGAACATGAACCAACACCAGGAATATTGGACTGGGAGTTGGGGAGAAAAACTCACCAGAGTCAGCGGTCGTCACTGAACCTGCCACTGGAGTTTTCACCTCCAGAATCTGGAGCCGTTTCTCTCGCTCTTCTAAACATTTTGCGGCTGGTGAAACCTCTGCTCCCGTCCCCTTCTTCTCCTCAGATCGAGCGCTACATCAACAGTCCGGAGGTTCGGAGGAACCCCCCAGATTACCAGGACATCCTGCAGCTGGTGTTAAGAGTCAATGAGCGGCAAACACTGGGTCTGAGCAAGAAGGAGCTGAGCCGGATCGCCCTGGACGCCTTCAGAGAGACGGGGAGTCAGCTGCAGGAGAGACGCCACCTGGACCTGGTCTTCAACTTTGGCTCTCAGCTCACCGACCCCTACAGGCCTGGTAGGCTCTCTGACCTTTTAACCTTTGACTTCACAGGTCTGTCAGTTCACCCACCGACTTTGACCTGACGGTCAGTCTAAAGTTTGACTAAAGAGGCCTGACGGCGACGACGTTGTTGTCGCTGTTGTCGCTGTTGTCGTTGATTGACTGGTGTCTTCCCCCCCCCCCCCCCTCTCTAGCGCCCACACCCCGGCCCCTGTGGCACAC